GGATCCACGCTGGTGGCCGTACTCCTTCGGGATACGTGTACACCACAATCTATAATAGTTGGTGAGCTTTTTAATTAATCCATGTCTGAGGCGGCCTTTTCCGCTCATGCTGAGCTGTCGCTCCTTGCTCTTGTTTTTCTCAACAAGGTTGCGCAAAGCCTTGCCCATTCTTTTTTTTACATGGTTCACCTATTTTCGCTTTTCTATGGCTATGAAGCCATACACCTTATCCTCACTGGGGGCACTATACGTGCGGCTATCGCCATCGCAAAGGATATTTGTATAGCGGAGCTGATGTTTTTGGAGTGATCGCTGAAACATGGTCTTTGCCGCAATTTTTTCCATCTGCCCTGCATTTGCCTCCGTGTTTTTTTGGCACTGTGGTGGTTCATGTTTTTCATACCACACTAAATATACACTGTCTCGAGGCTTTGGTCCAAGAGCACAGCCTTGGCAGTAGTTGGAGAGCACACAGTGGTCCAAGACAAGGCCAGAGTATAACTCGATGACACAGCCAACACCGATGTGGCTTGCGTGGCCCCTTGTCATCCAAGTGCCATCGTAGATGTAGTCAATGTTCCCTGAGGATATCCTAGGTCCCTATATATCTGACACACCTTCTCTGCGCTTGCTGCCTCTATTGCTGTGGCTGCAGATGCAGTGGCAGGGTGACTACGCTTGCAGTGCAGCCTCCTGTATGACTTATGATGCAGTCTCCTATGCGAAACGGTTATGTGGGAAAAAATGTCCTTCTGTGTAGTTTGATTTTTGCCAACAGAGTGCACAGCTCTCACCGCACGAACGTTTATTTCAAATGGATTGATCTGCTGAGGACCAGTACATCTTGGGGATGACCACTCAATACTTATTATCCCACAGTGGTCGCATATCACTGCCATTTTTGTTGCGAGCCCGAGGCATAGTTCAGTTTCAAAACGAACTGGGGCCCTCCCACACTGGTGACAGCGAAATTCGAACAGCAGCTTGTTCATCATCACTTTGTTTGCAATAAAAAATTGTGCCTCGGGAATAACATTATCCTCACTCTCGCCATCGTTCATTAGTTGAAATTTCCTCTTCGTGGCCAGGGTATCAGATAACGCATTCAAAGCGTCCGCTCGCGTTTCTTCTCGTCGCGCAATCTCTTCAGCAGTGAGAGTTGGAGCCGAAATCCGCTGTTTAATACCGTAATTACTCGAATCTAACGCGCACCTTTTTTCCGGTTAAGCGAGTTCATAAATCGCATGCGCGTTAGAATCGAGTACGAACAAAAAAATTACAGCCAATCTATTGCCATCGGCAAATCCGAAATGGCCGCCCCCTATGTGCGTCGGCATGGCGCATCGGCCATTTCTGCCTATGTGTTTCCCATGTGCGGCACTTCGTACCTGTGCTGAGGAGTTTGTCGTCTTGGTGTGCATTAGCATCGACGGCATGGAAGGGCCGACTCCAAAAACTCGACGAGTGCACCACGATGCCGCTTTTAAAAGAAGTCATCGCGAGTGCCGAAACGGAGGTAAATCGGGCTGCATCGCGGTCGTTCGGAGTTCCAGAAACGTGCGTGCGGGACTGGCGGAAACAAAAGCAGAATATTGTCGGCAGCAAAGATTCACGCAAAGGCTTCGGTGGACCACAGCAGGGTCGGTTTCCGCAAATTGAAGAGCTGCTCGGCGAGTATGTGATTGAGCAGTGAGCGGCACAGCGGCCCGTGACGACAGAACTGCTCCAAGTGCAGGCTATGCAGTTAGCCTTAGAAAAAGGGCTAATGCGGAGCCAGTTTAAAGCGAGCAGGTGCTGGCTAACTAACTTTATGAAGAGGAAAGGCTTTTCCCTTCGAAGGGGAATATGCATATGCGAAAAGTTTTGCGGAGGAGTACGATGAAAAGCTTCACAGTTTTCAGAGGTTCGTCCTAAACTTGCGGCGCAACAACGGCTGCCTGCTTGGGAAAATCGGGAATGCCGATCAGACGCCTCTTCACTTCGACATGCCTGGCACCACAACCGTCGAGAAGAAAGGGGCGAAGCAAGTTCGCGTGCTGACATCGGTCCACGGTAAAACTACAGTGACGGCAGTGCTCTGTTACACGTCAGATGGGCACAAGCTTCGCCCGTACCTCATATTTAAATGGAAGACGCTCCCGAAAGGAGTCGTTTTTTCGAGTGGTGTGATCGTGCGGGCCATCGAGAAAAATGGGTGTGCGTTGCAATCGATGTCTTACTTTTTTTTTTCGCGGTGGAAATCGGGTGCGCGTTACAATCGAGGGCGCGGTAGAATCGAGCAAATACGGTACTCTATGCGCGAACATCTGCAGTAGCCAATGTCACGTTGCCGTTGCTCGCAGAAGCGCGGTCTCCAGGCACTTGTGAAAGGCCGCACGTGGACACATCAACCTCGCGCGCGAACCTAAACTCGGCATCTGGCATCTGGACACAACACCACACGCGGACGCTTCGCAAACATAGGCGTGCCGTCAGCCCGGCCCGCGGTCAGGTCGTAACCAGCGCATACGGACGCACTGTCACGGTCACACACGGGCGAGCTTTCGCGATCTCCCACGTGCTCCGGTGTTTCCTGCTTGGCGAGGTCAGCGGCATTCGCTTCTGTGTCCAGCTTTCTCCTTTTATTCTACGGCTTTTGCCGTTTCCCGTACGCGTGAGCAGTTCGGTACTTTGCTCCTTTGGGGCTCATCGCAGAAGACACGTGCCTGGTTGCTACGATCAAGAGGGGAATGAACAAAATGCGCAACTCACTCCCACGCAAATGTGCGCGAAAGCCACTCAAAACTTATACAACCAATAGGAGCGCGCCATGTGCCCCCACGTGACTATTGCGCGCGAAAGCCATTCAAAACTTATACAACCAATAGGAGCGCGCCATGTGCCCCCACGTGACTATTGCAGCCAATCGCGATGCTACTTTTGCTCCTTTTTCTCTCATTTTTGCTGGTTTTATTTTTTGTTAGAGAAATACAGTGCTGTAGCTATCTTCAGCTCCGATCTCTCCTCTTCACAATGACACCAAGATGGCGGCGCTCCGCGGTGCGAGAGCCGCGGAATTTTCAGCACGGCGGCACCTTCCAAAGCCCAATTTTCTTGCGGTTTTCGATGATAACACACAGATAAAGGGCTGTTTTCTCGATTAGTATTGCATATTTCATTATATTTCACCACGAGGTAGAAGGTCTGAGAATCACAAAAAAAAATTAATCCGAAATTCGAAAATTTTGACCAAATGAACCGTTCCCATTGCCGCGTCCCCCCTTAAGCATGTTTGAATTAATGAAATTCGACTGTATTTTCGTCGCTATGAATATCTCGCACCGCGGACTCCTCACGAAAACAAGGCAAGCCTACCAAAAGATGAAGTTGGCCCCGGCTGCGATGCGCGCAGTTGAGGCCAATGATGGCCAGTCGAACTACAGCCTTTGTCCCACTGGTCCGGATTCCTGGTGCCTGCAAAATGCCGCGAAAGCTAAAGGAGAGCCAGCACCAAGACATTATTACAATCTCTCTGATAATGTGGCAAAGGCTCTGCTTCCCATATACCAGCACTTATCTGAGAGGAAGCTTCTCAAGCGGTTTGTGCGTGGCAAAACGCAAAACAGCAACGAGAGCCTGCGCTCGCTAGTGTGGTCACTCGCCTTAAAAGAATAGCACGCATCTCTCTTCAGTGTTGAAGCAGCTATGGCTAAAGCTGTCGTGATCTTCAATGCAGGCCGTGAAAGAACTTCAGCAGGAATTTTGCACAAACTATGCATGCACCCTGGTCATCGAAACGCGAAAAGCATGCAAGAAAAAGACCAGCGGGGATCAGTTTCATGTGCACGCAAACCTGCATCTGCAGAGAGTGTGCAGCGAACATTGCAGAAATGACATAAAGGTAGTGGTGGTCAAAGTGCCTGGAGCATATTGGTGATATGGAAGTGGAATTTATGCACTTGTGTTTATTTTTATGTGTAAATAAAGTGTTTGTTTTTGTTTGTTTTTCTCAAAATGTAAATAAATGGTTTTCGCAGCACCAATTATTTGATATCTCAGCTCCAGATGCAGATATGATAATTCTTTTTGTACCACTTAGCTGAATAAGTGGGGCACGCATTGTTACCAGCAGATTTTTATATTTCCTTTGCAATAATTTTTTATATCGAGCAATTGCTGAAAAGGTCATTGCTTTACACTGTGTGCTCATGTTCATTAGCGTTTAATTTTGGACCCAGTTTCACGATTCAAGATCTGCTTGCAACTGTCTTCCTTATTGTTTAGAGAGTCTAAAACATGTTAGCCAAAAATTTTATGAAGTGGTTACTTTTTATTTGTAGTAGTACACAATTGCAATTAATTTATACTTATCTCAAAAAATAATTAGGCTAGAGGAAAACTAATTACATTTTTAAAATCTGCTTAAAAACCTTAAGAAGCATGCCAAGTTTCATCAACATAGGCCAGGTAATAAAAAAAGTTTATTCTTGGTGCAGTGTCCCCCCTTTCCCCTCTTAACGTCTTGTTCCTGCACATTCATTGGTTTGTGACTGCGGTCACGCAGCTGAAAAATTGATTAGTGGGCAACTAAGCTAAAGTAGTTGCTTTTAGGCGAAACTCGGTTGCGCAACCTGTTTCAGTCTCTTGTGATGAGCCTTTAGAGTGCAATTAAGGGAGCTTATCAGACCCACCAGTCCCAGTAGCTTAGGCATGTAAAAACATTATTTGAAGTCTCATTTTTAGATTATTATGATCCAGGCAGTGATCATTAGCACTTTTGCAATAAGAAAATGAAGACAGTTATGGAAAATCTTTCTGCCACAGGTAAGGTAATGTTTCATTTATTTTTGTGTACCTTTTTTGACCAATTTTGAAAGATGGAAATATTTCACGCAATTCTGCAACACCGTAAAATTTTACTGTGTTCATAAGTATTTTATTCAGCCTCGATAACAAATCCTAAGTCGTCGCCAGTCGGTGTTGTCATTCACCAGCGGTCCTTGTATGCTGTTTTTGAACAGGAGCTTATGCCGCTGCCTCCTGCTGGGGAAGAGTCTGAGAACTCATCACAGCCGCGGCCTGAGCCAGAGCTTCAGCTGAGCCATGTGGAGTGCCTCATGTACAGCTTCCACCAGCTGGCAAAACGCAACCCCCAGTTCCTGGCGAGCGAGGAATCGGCTGAGCGACTCCGGGACTTCAAACTCAGGTATTCCCTCAGACTTTGCTACTCTGCAGTATTTGTAGCACACCATATTTACTCATGTAATGGCAGCCAATTTTCTCCAGGGATTTGGCGTAAAAATTGCAGATGCAGCCATTACTCGGATGACATTCTTTTATTCTTAGCGCATGTTTTCGTCACTACAGGTGCCAACGAAGTTTTCAAATGAATTTATGCTCTGAAGTTCGATTTTCCAAACTAATTCAGCCGTTTTGAGCCGTGTCGCTCGATTTTGAAAGCTGCCATATTGGATTTTTCATTGGCTTGGTTAAGTTTGGCTTCCAGTGACTACAGTCGAACCTCATTAAGGGGGGAGGCTACCTTCGAAGGGCAACTTTTTTGTTTGTTGAAATATCTTAATGAAATTTTCAGGGTACACTAATAGCAAAGCCATTTGAATAACCACAAAGTTTCATGCAGTTATGTTCACTGGTTCCCAAGTTACAGACATTTATCAGGGTAGTCCACATGGGTCCCTTAGTCAGGGTCTGGAGAATTTGAAAAATGTGCTAGCACTGTGAAATTCACTATGATGATTCCTGGATAGGTGTTTTAGGGCGAGACAGAGCCCTTTTTTTAAATTTCCTTGCCAAAAAATGTTAGCAGAGCACTGAATTTAGTGTTCACAATTTGGCTCTCATCAATGAAGTTTTAGTTAATTATTACAAATTACAGACACAATAAATTGAAAAAGCGGGCTTGTCTTGCCCTGGGCAATTTATTAAGGTGCATAATAAAAAAAACCTGATAGAAATCAGACCAGCAGTTCCAGAGAGATCACCTGACTAAGCAGCCTCACTGGCCAAAAAAGTCATTCTGAGAAAATTGACTTCAAAAGTTTCAAACATTTATTATGGTCTAAAATGACCCTGCAGAGTAGCTAGATGTGTCCTTAGGCTCTCTTTTTCTTTGCCGATTTTCCTGCTTCTCATTCATCCGTTTCTGAGCCTTTCTCAGACGCAAAGAGTCTTTCTCCGCAGCTCGTTGAATGGTTAGGTGGCCAGGTGTGAGTCCCACTGATGACGACAACTCTTGGGTGGCCCTGTAGCAGCCGGCATTATACCGCAAAACTGCGTCATGCAGTGCTGTCTCGACAGCAATCAATGATGCATGTTGCTCCTTGGGCATCAAGGACCATAGGACAGAATGGAATGACTCCGATGCATTTTGCGTCTTTGCTCCCAGGCAGCGTTGCAGTAGAGAAGCCTGCGAAAGGCGCTGGTAGACTGGCAGCAGCGCTTCTGCAACGTAGCCCGGAAGATTGTATTTGTGCTTTGGAGGTGGCACGCCATTCCCCTTGCAGGCATTATGACGCCACCACGAGTCTGCACGTTCCGGGCACAAGTCATGGTGAGGATTCTCGTCAGTTGAGGTGACGTGATAATATGACGCCATCACTGCACGCTGCATTGCAGCCACATTGTTTGAATTGTTCCTCAGTGCCCAGCCATAATAGTCTGTGAGTTTATCAATAAGGGCTTTTGTCAATCTGCCCTTCCCTCCCAGAGCCTGTTCGCTTTTCTGCACAAGATTACGTAGGGCTGTGCCCATCCTCTTCCGGACATGGTTCAAGCATTCTTCTTTCACAATAGGGACTAGCCCATAAACATTGTCTTGTTGAAGGGCAGAGAATGTGGCGCTGTCCCCATCAGATACAATGGTTGTATACCGGAGGTTATGCTTGGACAGTGAACGTGAGAACAGAGTTACAGCTGCTTCAACCTCCATCCTCCCAGACTTGGCATCAGTGTTTTTTTGGCACACATGGTGCTTCAACCAGCTTGCATAGCCCTCGTCTTCAGGCTTCGGTCCTACCTGGCAGCCGAGACACTGACTCGATAAAACTACAGCATCCAAGATGAGGCCTGTGTGATACTCGATGATTGCACCAACTCCAATGTGAGATGTATGTCCGCGCTTATGCCACGTGCCATCATAGTTCACTGTAATGTCCTTGCAGAAAGATGGGTTCATCTCCTTGTACACCTTTTTCACAGCAGAAGCCGATTCTTTATAGAATTTATCCAGGGTCTGTTGCTGTGGTTCTCTGAATTGCTTCAGGTGCCTCTGGAAAGTTCTGTGGTGCAGGCCACGGTGGGAAACATTCATAGTTGCCCAAAAGTCGTTGAGGGCTGTCTGTCCCTTCCCTATTTGTTTCATGGCCGTAATGGCTCTTATATTCACGTCGAAGGCCCTTGACTCGTTCTGACGAGCAGAGCTCCACGTACTTGAAACTATTCCACAATGTGGACATACTAGCTCAAGCTTCGTGGCAAGTCCAAGCTGGGTGCCTCCTTGAACTTTCATCCCGGTCGCGAGGCAGCGCGGGCACGGGGTCTTGGACAGCATGTCGCTAAGGGCATCCCCTTGCACGAGGAAATATCTCTCGCCTTCGGTCGTAGCGGTGGCAGCTTCGGGTTCAGGCATCATCGCTTGAAACTTCCTCTCGATCGCTGGCATAGCGCCAAGCTTTCGTTGCACAGCAGCACGTTCTCTCTCCGCCGTCGCCAACTCCTCGCACGTTTGAAAACGTGTTTGGAAGTGCACAGTCGACAACGCGGTCTCACTGTTCGGGGCCGGAATCAATGCGGTTGGCGAGCGCGACACACCAGGCGCACTTGAGCACAAAACACCAGCCTCACTCGTCACGACGGATCCTTGTGCCGATGGTGTAGAAGTCTCGTCGCTAGAAGCGTTGACGCAATCGTCTTGAAAAGATGAAGCGGAAGCATCGGTGCAACTGTCGCCGCGCGTGGGCGTGCAGGTGAGCTTCGCCATGCGTACGAGCTTCAGCTGACGCTTTCTTGAACCGAACGCGTGCCGAGTCTTGAACTTCGAAATGCCCATCGTGACCGTCAGCGCAACAATCCGCGTCCCGTGAACACGGCGGAAGATCGTCTCGTGAGGACGGTAGTGATCGTCTCGTAAAGACGGTAGAAGATCGTCTCGTGAAGACGGTAGAAGATCGTCTCGTGAAGACGGTAGAAGATCGTCTCGTGGAGACGGTAGAAGATCGTCTCGTGGAGACGGTAGAAGATCGTCTCGTGGAGACGGTAGAAGATCGTCTCGTGAAGACGGTGAAAGATAGAGGAGCACGTGTGACGACCGATCGGAATGATGGCAAACGGGGCACATAAAGAACGCCGGCATTGCAAGCGCCGGTGCAGACGACGAGCCGGCGCATGCCGGAGAAGCAGCTACGTCATCGCGCGCAGCAGCCAATAGGAGCCGCACGCTCCCCCATTCTCTCGAGAGGCGCGCGCTTTGTCCAATCGCGGCTTCGCATCCAGGCAGCGGGACATTCGAAAGCTTCCGCGAGCCCCCAATCGTGAGCGACTCCCGCCTCGGAGCGCCACCGCCACTGCCGCGGGTGGCGGGGAAAAAAAAGCGCAAGAATTCACGAGCAAAACAACATCAAGATGGCGGCGATCGGCCGAGCGGTTGGGAAATGGCGAGCGCGCGAAGTTGGGGTATTTTTGGCGCTCGCTCGCCGCTTGCCGGCTGCCGCGGCATGTTATAAAATTTATTTGACGTACTTTCGCGATGAATTAGACATTGATATTTACAGTAGAGGCAGTTTATGAGTCATACTGCCCGAGTATGTGGTTTTCAAAAAATCGACTTTTTCGCGATTTTTCGGTTTTCAAAGGGCGCGTCCCCCCTTAATTCGAACATGCTTAATTCGAATTCCGGTTAATTCGAACTGACGCTGTGGTCCCGTCAAAGCTCTGTGTATTCCAATGGGCGACAACGCCTTGTAATTCGAACAGGCTAGCGATGAAGAAAAGGCTGCGGCGGAATGTTTGCTCTCTCTCAAAGTCTGACCTGCGATGCACCTGTGCTATGCTTTTTTCTTTTCTGTTCCTGCCATGTAGAGACCCTTCTCCTTTTTAACGCTGCGCGCAAAGAGAGAGAGGGGGGAAGCTGTTGCGGAGTGTTGGCTCTCTCTCATGCAGCGGTGCCACGCTTAAGCTGTTGCGGAGTGTTGGCTCTCTCTCACGCGCCGGTGCCATGCTTTCCCCTTTTTAGTTCCTGCCGCATACACACTTCTCCATTCAAGGATGTGCGCGGAAAAAGCAAAAAAAAAAGTGTCCGTGAAGTGTTTGTTCTCTCTCGAATGCCGATCTGCTTCTCTCCACGTGGAGATGCTCCTCCTTTCTCATAACGTGCCGGCCACACTGCAGCTGCGGCGCAGAGTGTAGTAGGTAGTAGTGGAGACGCATTCGTCGTTGTTGTCTTTAGAGAGTGCGGCGCTGGACATTGCCGCGCGTAACTTTTCTTACCAGGAGAATGCTGTCGCCAAAGTACCGTATAGTACGGAATATAGGCCGAGATTTTTTCCAAAAAATGTCAATGAAAAGTCATCCCTCGACCTATATACTGGCCTTTGGCATAAACCAAGTGATCGTCTGGCAACAAGAAGTGTCACATGCTTTTTGGGCATGAGTATCGACATCGCCTCTTTGGGCCGACGCGTTCTCTGCCGACGCCATTTCTTTTTTCTTGTTCATTTAATGTTCGTAGGGAGTGTCAACGTTACTCTGCGACTAGCCATGAATACGGGGACGCGGCACCAGTTCACCGCCGCGTTTAAAAGAAACGTTATTGAATTTGCAGAGGCGAATGGCAACATGGCGGCACAATGGCAGTTTGGAGTATCTGAGAAAAGCGTCAGGTACCGGCGCAACCAAAAATCTAAACTGTCGGTGTGTAACGTGAGGAAGACGTCGTTTCGCAGTCGCCGAGCTGTGCACCCGGAACTCGAAAACAAAGTGGCGGATTTCGTTCGTGAGTACCGTGCCAGATCCCTGCCTGTGAATGCGGAGCTCATTCGATCAAAAGCTGTCGAGCTTGCCAGTGAAGCCGGTCTATCAAAGCAAGGCTTCAAGGGATCCATTTATTGGGTCCGTCTCTTCATGCGACGCAAGGGATTTGCCCTTCGACGACGCATGTCGATATGCTAGAAGCTGCCGGAGACGTACGAG